CTGCTTGAAGCCAGGAGTTGACGACCAGCCTGGGCAACATGGTGATACCCTGTCTTCACAAAAAAATTTAAAAAATAGCTGGGTATGGTGGTGTGTGCCTGTAGTCCCAGCTAGTTAGGAGCCTGAGGTGGGAGGATCACTCAAGCACAGGAGTCCAAGCAGTGAGCTCTGCAACCTCCAACTCCCGGATTCAAGCAATCATCATGCCTCAGCCTCCTGAGTAGCCTGGGTGACAGAGTAAGACCCTGTCTCAGAAAAAGAGAGAATACTTTATTCTAGTAGAATATGAGTAAATTCCAGATGACATTAGCTCCTGTGAACCATTCTTAAGCATGAACAGTGGTACTAATGTGCTGTGTTCTGAGAGGATCTTCCCAACTGCTTTGGCCAATGTCTTCTGCACTGGTGATGATATGAAAAACTACCAAAAATAAACCTGAACACAAACAGAGAGCATTCAAATGGTGCACTCTGGGGTTATAGTGCTATAATGCCAAACTGTTCCTCACTCTATTCAATGTTTGTTTCTTGAAAAACTACTTAGATTAATCTGGGCCAAAATGAAGTAAAACACAAAGTTTGCTACCACTGAGAAGCCATGCCTTTATAATAGGAATCCTAAACTTTATTGCTGATCTGTATCCTTAGAGTCTCCTATTCTCAATATTCAAAAAACTAACAGAAATAGGACATTATCAGGAATCAAGACGCTGGAGAGGCTGTGGAGAAAAAGGAACACTTTTACCCTGTTGGTGGGAGTGTACATTAGTTCAACTATTGTGGAAGACAGTGTTGCAACTTCTCAAGTATCTAGAACCAGAAATACAATTTGACCCAGCAATCCCATTACTGGGTATATACCCTAAGGATTTAGAAATCATTCTACTGTAAAGACACATGCACATGTATGTTTATTGCAGCACTGTTTACAATAGCAAAGACTTGGAATCAATCCAAGTGTCTATCAGTGATAGACTGGGTAAAGAAAATGTGGCACATATACAGCATGGAATACTATGCAGCCATAAAAAAAGAATGAGTTCATGTCCTTTGCAGGGACATGGATGAAGCCGGAAACTATCCTTCTCAGCAAACTAACACCAAAACAGAAAACTAAACACCACATGTTCTCACTCAAAAGTGGGAGTTGAACAATGAGAACACATGGATATAGGAAGGGGAACATCACATACTAGGACCTGTCGGAAGGTGAGGGGCTAGGGGAGAGATAGCATTATGAGAAATACCTAATGTAGATGATGGGTTGATGGGTGCAGCAAACCACCATGACATGTGTATGCCTATGTAACAAGTCTGCACGTTCTGCACATGTATCTCAGAACTTAAAGTATAATTTAAAAAAATAAAAATAAATTAAATTGGACACTATAAGCATAAAATGCTATGTTTTAGCTGGGCATGGTGGCTCATGCCTATAATTCCAGCACTTTGGGAGGCCGAGGTGGGAGGATCACTTAAGCCCAGGAGTTCGAAACCAGCCTAGCCAGTATGGCAAAACCCTGTCTCTACTAAAAATACAAAATTAGCTGGGTGTGGTGAGGCATACCTGCAATCCCAGCTACTCATGAGGCTGAGGTGGGAGGATCATTTGAGCCAGGAAGTGGAGGTTGCCATGAGCTGAGATTGTGCCACTGCACTCCAGCCTGGGGGACACAGGGAGACTTTGTCTCAAAAAAAAAACAAAACAAAATGCTACCTTTTATATGACTAAAAAGGGTAAACTTCTATTTATATTAGCTTGCATATGCATAAAGAAACTTTGAAAGAAGACATATACAAGTAACTAGTAAGAGCTTACTTGGGTTGTGGGGACAACTTGGCAGATGGAAGCAGGAATGGGAGGAAAACTCACTCAGTCTCTTGATATATGTTCTGGTTTTTAAACCCTGTCAACATATTACCTAATTAAAAACTAAGTAGACAAGTAAATATTATTTGGCATGTGGCTCACTGATGGAATACAATTCCTGTTACCAATTGGTATGTCTCAGATATTTTTCACACGCATAAAAAGGAATTTTAGAAAAATTTTAGGAGTTAAAAAGCAGAAACTGAATTTGTGAAGTGTATCATGGCATGCAGTTATATTTTTTCCCATGAAGTTCAAAGTCAGAAGAGATTTGTGAGTACTTTGTTGTTGTTTCAAAAAAGGTAGAAAGTTATATTTAGCTTTGCAGTGACATTACGTGTGCGCGTACACACATACACACATACACACACACACACACACACACACACCCTCCTCTAGTAGATAATTGTATTTTGCCATTGAAAAAAATGGCAAAAACCACAATTACTTTTGCACCAACCTAATAACTTACTACCTTCTAGCTATGTAAATAGATATCTACCCTTTAGCCATGTAAATAAATAGGTTCTGCTAACAAAGGGCAAGCAAAAGTTTGTGTAGCACCATTCATACCTATTTTTGATTCTGTAATCACAAATGATAATTTTTACTTCATGTGAATGGTTAGGTTTTGAACACTAACTAAATTTTAGAAATTTAAGTCAATTCTTCGCAGTGTCTTTTAATGAAAATAACAGGAGGTAGTTACGATTTTTGAAATAAAATATAAATCTAAGAGTTGTAAAATGTTTCTTTAAGGTACAGAGTAGGTGATGTGTTTCAAAGAAAAATAATTTATAAATGACTTTGTAAAACACAAGCCCTTCACATGCTGTTAACTTTGGAAAAGTCAGGTCTTCTCCTAACAAGGCTTTTATTCTACCTCATACTCCAAACTCCTAAGGTTTTAAAATATTCAACTTGCCTTTCTTCTTTTTTAGGGAGTGAGTGTGAGCTTGCCAGCTGGTTACAAGCCAAGAGTTATCCAGTCAGACCTGAATGGAAAAAATCTATGATTTGTTTATTTCATAGTTCAAGTTCAAAAGCAAGAGACAATTTAAATAATAAAAGAGTAACAGGAAAAAATGCAAAGAAAGAAAACAATTCAGTAAGAGTCCAGAAGAACCTTCAAGAATATTTAATTCGGAAAATGTTATTGGTTTAGAGAACCTGACTGAAAGAAAACAGCTGGGCAGAGTTCAAGGTTTTAAATTAAAAACAATCTAACAAGGTCTATGGGGATAACTCTCTGAGCCATATTTTGGAGACCAGATTCATTTCTACCAAGTAAAAGTAATAGCAGTCTAAGCTAAAAAGGAAATTCCTCACAACTGAGGTAGTTACTAAATATCAGCACATTTTCCAAGTTCTCACAAGGCCCCGTAGCTATTTACAATCTATTTTTCCTCATATATAAATGGAGTGCCTTTTCAATTTTACGTCTTCTGTGATTCGTTTAAAAAAAAAAAAAAAAAAAAAAAGCAAAAAAAAAAAAAAAAAAAAAAAAAAAAAAACAAAAAAAAACACACTTATATGAACCAGCCAGAATATGCCTATTTTATTAACATCATGCTTTAATAAATAACTGGCTACTTCTAATAAAATTAAGCCTCTGTTTACAACAGCCCCCAATATTCCATTTTGACCACTCTGCAGAATTTGGTGTATAAAGTTGAATGAAATGTAGACCCTGAGCTATCAAGTAATTATGTTTCAATATAAAAATAGAGAATTACTCTTACAACTGAAATTGAACAATAACACAAACAACCTCTTTGTGGGTTCAGTAAAATCAGTTGGCATCTTAATGGCTGTCTAAAGCAGGAAGAGACTTGCAGAATTTTAGTCTTTCTGAAGACTTCTGGGAACTCCTTTGAAAATGATATGTTACATTCTCAGAGTTTTATGAGCTATCATTTGGTAAGGACACAAGGCAGGGGTTCCCAAGGGGCCAAGGTGGTTGTTAGTCTTTGGCCTGGGACAACAGATATGGCCATGGCCTTTGCCAGTTCACCTGCATGGCTAAAGGTCACTGCTAAGATGTAGTCTTCTCAGCTCTACCTACTCCCACCCCACCCCACCCCCTAAGAAAAACAACACATACAAAAGTCTGGACACCTACTTCTCCCCTAAGTGGGCTCCTTGGCTGATACCTTGGATCGAAACACGTTGCTGTGAACCATGGCAATTCCTTTGTTTTACTGATTAACAGGGGGCTGGGTGAGAAAAAGACTCAAATGAGACACCTTATACTCTCTTAAAACAAGACTGGGTTCCCAAAACAAATGCAGATATAAGTGCACAGACAAAAACTTTGCCCAAGTGTTGACAGCTATTCCCTGAGCCCAGGCTGTACCCCAGTTCTGGCTAGCTCCCAGACAGCTCCCTGTACAGAGGTGGGTTTGAAATCTAAACCACTCTAACATGGGGGATCAAATGAGATTGTAGGTCACTTACTGCTGCCATTGGGATATTAATTCAAACAGAGTCAGTGTGAACATGAAAACTAGCACACGGTGGACTAGCTAACCTGCTTGGTTTTTAAAACACCCCCAAACCCAAGTGTGAACATGTGATAACTGGGATATCCTGAATACCTATCTTTCAAGGGGGATGGTATCTAGACTCTTTTTCTAAATGGGTTACATTTTAAGTATAAGTGGGTTCAAGAAATGGACCCACTTAGTAATCTTAGCTTATGTAATTCAACTCATTCAAAGCAGTAGTCTGCAGTCTCTTCCAATTACCAGCTATAAATGAAGTACGTATAACCTTCTTCTTGGATTGATGCTTTGAATACAATCTGACAAGTGGCTCAGAAGCCTGCTTGTTCCCTCACATTCTGTCCTAACTTAATAACAATTAAAAAAAAAAAAAAAATCACCTCCACGTCTCTCCAGATAAGGCAACTAAAATAACAGGGAGAAATGGAAATGTTACTGCTTATTGGGCTTTTTCTTTTAATAAGATAACATGATAAATAAAACCTGCTTCTGTACAGCTATTTAATATTTCAGAAATACGTACATGTTACATGCCAAGAAAGGACCCTGGTTTGCTTGTAAGAAACAAGGCGAGATCATAGTTGGAAAAAAAAAAACAACAACAAAAAAAAAAAAAAAAACAAAAAAAAACAAAAGGAAATGAGAAACAAACAAACAAACAATAGAGTGATAAAATCACAAATGCACAACTAACTATAGTTCTGTACCTACACTGTTAGCCACGTTTAACATGGTTTGAGGGAGCAAGAACCAACTCAATGTACAGTCGCTTTTCCTCCCAAAACTGAATGGAAAAACAAAGTCAGCATTTCTTAAACCAGTGGCCACATAGTAAAAACTGTACATTGTTGTCCATTCATTTAAAAAGCAAAGTCACTAGGATGGTAGAAAAGTGGTAACTGGTGCCTTTTAACTTTTTGACGGTGAACACTTTTTCTCAGGGTTTGAGAATTATCTCCACTCTCTCTGCATAACTAGAAACAAGATGCAGAAGACAGTGAGGAGGTAGGCCTGTGTCCCGGGACGGACACCAGCACTGTCGGCTTTCTCATTGGCACTCTTCCCAGAGTGGTCAGTGGCGTTGTAGTCAAACTCCGAAGGGCACTGCTGATACTCACAGCCACTTCCGCTTCCTTCTCCACTACTTTCATCACCTAGTTAAAAAAAAGACGGAATAGAGACTTCATTCCACTTATTCTCATCAGAATGCATACAAGAGCAATTTGTACTTTCAAACTGCAGATGCTTACTGATATCAAAGAAGTCCACGTCATTCCCATTGTATGCATTCTTCATCTTGCTGGTCATCACCCGAAGAGCCATGATTTGACGAAGGATCAGTATGTCTGGTTTGCTGGTATCAACCTGGACCTCTGGGTTGTTGCCCTGGTTGGCTAATCCATTTCCTGTCACTGCAAACAGGTACCTGGAATGTCAAATGACCCCGGTAAGATGATTTGTAAAGCAAAAAGCAAGAGTAGTATCAAAGATTTCTGCTAGATTCTAGTATTTCCACTAAGCAAAATTAGATGGAAGTTCTTCAATTCCTAATGAACTGTCATCTTTCCTGTTCCTGGGGATGTCTCATTTCTCCATGTTGATGGAAACTTTCTTGAAATTTATCCCAGCACTTTTGGAGGCTAAGGTGGGTGGATCACTTGAGGTCAGGAGTTGTTCAAGACCAACCCGGTCAACATAGTGAAACCCTGTCTCTAGAAAAAAAAATACAAAAATGAGCTTGGTGTGGTGGTATGTGCCTATAATCTCAGGTACTCAGGACGCTGATGCAGGAGAATTGCTTGAACCCAGGAGGAAGAGATTGCGCCACTGCATTCTAGCAGCCTGGGTGACAGTGAGACTCTGTCTCCAGAAAAAGAAAAAAAAAGGAAAGAAGGAAACCTATCCCTTTTCAGGAGGTTGGTGGGTTGAAGGAAAGAAGTATAGGTACTTCTCTAAGTTAACCAAGTGTCTAAGGGAGGGACACAGGGCATCGAGTCAGAGAATGGGACCTTTGAGAACTGGCATTTTATGAGGCTAGACCATTGGGCAAAGAGCCACAGGCATTAAATATTTTTAAAATAATGACACTATTGGAACGGCCCTAATACTAGACTATAACTACTGTCAAACTTTGGACTCAGCACTCTTTGTAAGTAGCTGGGTGCCTTCTCAACAATCCTAGTGCAAAGCCAGTTCCTAAGAACTCTAGAAGCCTTCCATGTTGTTGCTACCTACTGCGAATTGCTTCCTGATGCCTTGGTTGACAATTGAGAGAACCATCTCTGAAGGTCACACAGGCATCTAGGAAGGGAGAAGCTGCAAATCCATTCAACAGACACTAACCTGCTTTTGCCTTTCCCGTTCCAGCAGTCATCCTCATTGCTGTTTCCTGCAGCCATCCTTTCATCATTGCAAACGTTGCTCGGAAGGGAGGACCAGAATTTCTTGGCCTGTTTCAGTTTCTCCTTGACATCAGTAACCTAAATATGAAACAACAAAAAAAAGATCATTGTAAGACAAGATGAAACTATCTACAGATGGGCCTTCTGACCATTTCCAAAGTATCTCCAGAGTGATATGCTATTCATTTTCAACTTTAGTTAGAAGAGGAAGATGTAGCTCCAATTTATATCTTAGAAGTACAAAACCACTCAAGTGAATAGTTGAAATGCAAGCTCCGAAGGAGTGGCCTAGACCCCTTGTCCACTCAACTTCATTGTTAAGTACTGTCTGAGGCCTACCAGGTTCCATGCCCTGTAGGCACAAAGATAAGATGCGGTCTCTTCTCCCAAGGCTTTTAGAGTCAGGATCAAGCTCTTATATTATGCACTCTGGGAAACATAGCTGCTACTGCCCTTTCCATCCCTGTCTCCTCAGGCTCCCACTTCTGTGTTCCTACTACTGTAGGAATACTTACTTACATTTTTGTAGCATGTTACTGTGGATAAAGCAATTTGCCTACAGTTAATCACTCTTCTCCCACCTCGGCATTTACTAAACATCATTTTATGTTAATAAGCCTAGAACATCTGTTTCTCCCTCTTTGCCTCCTTGTTGATGCCCTTTGAGAACAAGGACCTGCCTTATCTCTCTAAACTTCTCTGTGCCTAGCACAGCGATGGGCACATAATAAGATGTTCAGTAAATGCACAGTGAATCTAAAGAGAAGTTTTGAGACAAGACTTATTGCATCACAACTCCTTGACTACCCAGGAACTTTCTGAGCTAGAAAATGGGACAGGCAGATTGACTGACATCCACATCCTATTTGCTCAAAAAGTGACACCTGAAAGACCCACACTTGTCAGCCTTCCAGCTAAAAATTCATTTTGAACAAGAGTTTTCAGTTCTTTGTCATCAAACACAGCCCTTCCTGCCAAAATGCTCACCAGTCGGTCCAAACTAGTGCCAGCTGCTGTGGTTGGGCGTTCCTCGGGGTGATGTGGTCTGAAGCGAGCACTGAAGGCACCTTCAGAGATGGAACGAGAAACTCGTCCAGCTGGGAGGGGCTTGGGGGGTCCACATCCCTGGAAAACCTGCATTGGAGTAAATGTGGTCATGTTAAGGAAGTCACATCCCAAGGCAGGGGTGGGGGGGTATCTCCAGCTCCCCTTTCCAGCATCCTGCCTTCATTACCTTCTGAGACACTTGAACACTATTATCCTGCATGTTCATAATAGCATCAGAAATCTTCACATCGATGGGATCCATAACTGATTCAATGTTGAAAGGACCCTCTAGCCTCTCTGCCACCATCAGCATAGCATCTAATATGAGGTTTGGGGAAAAACAATACAGCATAAAAAGTCAATCATTAGTTTGGCCTCGGGTAAATCAGTCTGATTATTTTGTTCCTGTCTGTTTCCTGCATGGGGGCAGGGGAAGTAAGACATGCATCATAAATAATTCTTGTTTTTATATCTATTTCCTTTACACCAAACTGCATTTAGTCACTATGTATCACTAGCTCTCTAAAGTGTGAAATGGCCAGATGAAGGCTTAGTTCTACAGCAAGGAAACCCAATCAGGAACCTTCCTCCATACTGATTATTTGTGTGTCAGCCACTGTTACTGTAAGGGTCTTAGCTCCCAGATGACAAATCTAAGGCTGGAGGCAAATGACATGCCGGTTCTCCCAGAGACTTCCCTAAGATCTTTTCATTTCAGATTAAATTTACAAGAGTCAAAAACATAAATCAGTTAAGATGCTGGCATAGTAATTCTTTTCTTTCATTTATAAAAATAAAACGCCTCAGATCCTTGAGTGCACCATTGTAAAATACAAATGAAAGGATCCCTAGGAATTCTAATGACTTTTCAAATAATGAAACTTTGAATAATGCTATTTTTGTATTAAGAAAAACTTCGCATTTCAAATACAAGGGTCTCAATTTATCTTAAAGCATGTACCCCTTTTTTTCCCCCAAGTGAAAAGATAACACAAGACACAGTACACAAAATTAGTGGGCTCACAGTATGTATCTCACCGATTATCCTTCAAGTTACTTTTAGACTTTGGAGTAGCCTAGCATTTTCCAGTAAGCACTGAATCACTTTAATAAAATACATTGTCTTTGTTTTCTTGCCATACATGTTTCTTAGGATTATGAGGCTTAGTAATTTTGCCTGCTACCTGTTGTACGAAACTAGAAGAACTTGGAAATGAAAACCCCAAATGACAAAAAGGATGCTTCATTAATGACAGTGAACTTTTAAACTTGCTCATCCCCCTTTACACTCTAGTGCTTAGTGCATGGCAAAAAAGGAGTTAGACCCATATTATCTATCACCTTCAGGTTGTACAAGGATGGCTACTAGAAAGAAGGGCTAGTTTCCAGAAGATTGTGTCCCTCCCAAAGAACACCACTGCAGCCCCCAGCGGAGCTTCTACCTAAGCTTTCTACTGGAAAGGAGCATAGGCATCAGCATATCAATGAAACCAAATCTGGTCACTGTTTCACCTTCAACCTAGAACAAATGCTACGCAACATTCTAATGCACGGGGTCATTTCTCTAAACTACAATTCCAATGTCACAAACCACAAACAGATTTCCATGAAATGCAATTTTTAAAACAGTAAATAACAAATGAAGTTTCAGACTGCATTGTGGTAAGCGCCAATCAAGTGATGTTTCTAACCTCTAAGTAAGGGCTAAAAGCATGAATATACCATTATACTAGGAGAAAAAAATGCTTTTGATGTGCTAGCAAAAGGAGATTTTTGTAAACAAGTGGAGCACAACTTAAATGTGTTCATCATTGTCAAATCATCAGGGCTGCCACGTACAGAAAATACATTCCTTTGTAAGCTGAGAAGAAATCACCTGCTCCAAATAAAAATATGAATAGACAGACAATAAACATCTAAAATGGAGATGTTTAAATAACAACAATAACAATAACACCACCACCACCACCACCCAGTGCATTTTGTGACTCCTCATTCCCCTAGTGGTGAGGAATGGCCAGATCCATAATGTGTTTGTGAAAGACTGAAAGGAAACGTAAACCCCAATTCTTCTGGCTGTTTGGCGTCTTTGTAAACTCTGAGCCAGCCGGCTATACACAAGGGCCTGGGAATGGAGGGGGAAGCTGGGCCTTTGTTGGGGCCGGTGCTATGGCGTTGCATGTTGCACGGCTGAAGAATGCGACTGAAGAGGATTCTGCCTGCAGTCTGCAGCCCAGGAGCCAAAGCTGCCTCTAACCCCTGGAGGAAACCATGACTGGCTATCAATTGGCTCTTCTGTAACAGCAGCCAGCCCTGATAAGAAGCCTCAAGAGAAAGCCAAAGATGACTGGTTTGGAGTCTGGGTTTTTTTCTGGCTGATATGAGCCACGGGGGCCCTTGTTTGCAGGATATCCGACTGGCTCCTGCCTCCTGCCAGGACCTGGCTGGTGTCCCCGCCAGCAATCCCAATACTAAATTCCCACTGGCAGCAACCTGTGACATTAATAGGGTTGGCTCTGAGTCAAATGAGTGTTAACACAGCTACAGTATGTGATGGAGAACAAGTTGCACCTTAGCATAATTTATGATTCTCCAGAAACTGACTTTTGTTGGTGGTGGGGGCAAGAGGGGTATTTGGTTTATTTTTCCAAGTGAAGGTTTCATATAAACCAGCCTCTTATAAAACCAAGTTCCAAGGTGTTTTAACTATTTGGATCCATCATAATAAAAGGTTGACAAGACTTCAACATTGTCTCAATTCATGGCCATGCACAAATGCAGCTAAGAGAGGAGAGGAAGGGCCTTGGCAACAAGAAGACAGATTTGGAAAATCAGTTCATCCTTAGCCTCTTAAAGGGTCTAGTCCAACTGCATGATTTCAGTGCTCAAGACACTGGCGCTGAGTTGTTCCCCACACCCCCAGCGACAAAGCATCCTCTTCTCACTAGAGAAAGTGATTCCTTTTGCATTGTGCCGCAAATAATCAGAAACCCACATCTTCAGCCTTGCGACCTGACTGGAAGAACAAAAGGCAGTTTCCTGACTTAACCCCAAGATCTGCTTTAAAGAAGGGGGAAAAAGCCCTTGACTGTTCATTAGCTGCAGTCATTTAAAGGGGAAAGAAAAAAATTCCTTGCAAAGAGAGAGAGAGAGAGAAAAAAAAAAAAGACAAGAAATAAAAAAGAATTTACAGCAGAGGCATGTAAATTGGGACTGAATTCTACAACCACAAAGCAGATTAATTAAACCCTTGTGAAAAATTCATGAAAGAGCACTGGAGATTAACAATGTCTATTACTCCTGGTCTTTTATATCTGGTTATTAGAAATAAAGAATAGAATACCCATTAAAAGCAAAGTTTAGATACAATTATATACCTCATTCCTCCAAAAAGTTATCATTTAAAATAACTAGGAAAAAATCAATTCAGAAATCCTATCAACTTCTACTTGGGTTTAATTTTGTTTCTTCAAAGATGACAAGCATAATTTTAAAAATGTACAACAAGAACCAACAACAGCAACTGAAGTCCTCTTTGTTTTAGAGTAACCGATTTAAAACGTCAATTAAGAAAGCCAGAGTGTGGTTTTGATTTGATATGGACCTTTATACTCCAGGAAAAATATGTAGGAGCGTTTGTATTTTAATATAGGAATATGAGTTTAGTTATAGTTGCTGCTAGATACATTAGAATATCAAAATAATGGCAACAGCCATACCCTTCTGCACTCCATTCCCAACGTGTCTGTAGTAAAGTTAGCAAAACTTGACCACTGTCACATTTTTTGTACCATATGGCAAATTCTGCTCTTTTGCCTGGAGAAACAGTGTATTATAGTATGGTGAAACTGAAAAGAATCACCAACTTTCTTTAAAAAATCAATTTAGCAAAAGTAAACTGCAAACTTGACATTTGGGTGTGGGGATGAATGTGGAATTACAGCTAGAGAGAGAAAAAAAAAACAGCAATTTTAGATCTGTAAATGATATGGGTTTTTACTTCCATGAGAAATATTTTGAAGCAACAATTTCTCCCATGGCTTCATTCTGGGCATGATGTGCCATTTGGCCTGTGTGTCTTTGCTGGTCTTATGCCTTCCCTTTCATGAGATTCTGCTTTTCTGTGTGTAGAAGATTTTTTCAGGTCTTCTAGCTTTGAGCTATTTAGGCTACAATTGTGCTGAAGTGCTTAATATTCACATCTTTTTTTTCCCCCTGTGTCAGTGTTCTTAAGAATCTGTTGGAGCCAATTTATTGATGCACTTTCAAACGGAGTTAATATGATAATTAGCTCTCACACAGACTAAAAAGCATTCCCCAACCTTAACACCCCTCACCCCGCCAAAAAAAAAAAAAAAAAAAAAAAAAAGCCAGCAAATTGCACGCATGTTCCCATGATTTGGACAAATAAGTGAAAAATAGGTGCTTATAAAGACACTCAAATTCGGCAATTATGCAGAGGTGACTGGGGTGGGGGAAAATGTGAGTTTCTTTTTGTGAGCTGTTAGTATGTGTGTGCAGTCCTACTAATACTCAGCACAAGGAACTTCAACACTGGTCACTGTTGTTTCAGGCATCAAGGTAACTGACAACTGGACATTTAAATTCTCCTTAATTTGTCCTTTCCCAAAAATCATAACTAACCCTCTCAGCAATTGGCCACTTCATTTGCACTGCTGGCTGGGTTCCAAGAATGGTTTTCTAGGTGGGAGATATATGCAAGAATATGTATCTCTTAAATTTTCGGAGCAAAAGTCTTTCTACTCTTACCAGAGCAGACTACTATTGCTAAATCATGTACAGAAACAGAATCCGTAAATTTCTCAATCAGATTTCACCTGATCTAAGTAACAAATGCATATCTGGCAGGTTTGCAGAAGATCTGGCTGCAGTGTAACAGATAAAACATTTTTTTTTTTTTTTTTTTTTTTTTTTTTTGGTGAGACGGAGTTTCGCTCTTGTTACCCAGGCTGGAGTGCAATGGCACGGTCTCGGCTCACCGCAACCTCCGCCTCCTGGGCTCAGGCAATTCTCCTGCCTCAGCCTCCTAAGTAGCTGGGATTACAGGCATGTGCCACCATGCCCAGCTAGTTTTTGTATTTTTAGTAGAGACGGGGTTTCACCATGTTGACCAGGATGGTCTCGATCTCTCGACCTCGTGATCTACCCGCCTCGGCCTCCCAAAGTGCTGGGATTACAGGCTTGAGCCACCGCGCCCGGCCCAGATAAAACATTTTAAAAGCCACTTTCACAGCTCCATGAGGACTGTACTCCAGCATTTACATGGATACAAGCCTTTAATGATAACCACAACAGACTTTTAGGGGGAAAATATAAAAAGTCACTTTCCTGGGGACTAGTGGCTCATGCCTATAATCCCAGGGCTTTGGGAGGCCAAGGGCAGGAGGATCGCTTGAACCTAGGAGTTGAACGTTACAGAGAGCTATGATTGTGTTGCCATACTCCAGCCTAGGTGACAGAAAGAGACCCTGTCTCTGAGAAATAGACATTCTCCTGTTATTAAAACCTGGCAGCCACTGCATCTATTACCTTCAGAAATGTCACCATTAGTTCAAGGGGACATTTACGTGTAGTAATGTTTTTACTATACTCAGAGTAGTTGAGCATAGTCAGGATTCTGACAAACACTATATAACACTAAAACAAACAAATTTCACAGCTGCCAATTACAACATTCCTTGTGACTGGAAGCTAAACTATCTCCAGCAACACAAACATGTTAATCACTTGCTCACCTATGAAATTGTTCCATTCAAAATCGAGATCCCCTTGGTTGGCCAAACAGCCTCTCATGATGTTTGAGCAGTAGTTGTAACATGGCTTCACTGTCACGAGACCCTGGCAGTGGGAGCAGTAGATCATCTTCAACAGAGCGTGGGTACACTGGGCTGTGGGGTTTACCTAATGTGCGAAAAGACAAAAAAAAAAAAAAAAAAGGCAGTAGTGGTGGGGCTAAAATATAGACAGAAATTGTTTCTATCATGTTGACAATGAAGGCTTGGCCATGAACTTAATTTAAGTATGAGTTGTGATTGATCATAATGAGTAGGCCTGAACTGCCTCCTGAAGAGGCAGATTAGATAATAGATACACATTGGGGCAGGGGAGAGGAGGGAGGTGAACATCACATGACCAGAAACAATCAAGGTGGACACATCCCCCACCCTGTAAACACCCATTCGTCCCCCACCCCCTTCTCTCCTGGAGTCTCTGTACCTCTCACACATAAATTGCTGAATTATCTCAAAATCCTTTTACAAATAACTATCCAGAGTGAGCTGTGAAATGCAGTGGAGGAGGCTACCTTCACGTGCCCACCATGAATACCCTGCTATAGCCTCAACCATCAGTGTTTGTCTTCGCCAGACTGGAACAGAACCACATCTTCTTCTGAATCACATTGACTACAAGGCTGTCCTTTGAAACCTAACCCCCAATCAAGGTTTAGAAGGGTACCTAGGGTGTCTTCTGTTCTGTGCCAAGAGCTATGCAGGAGGCAAAGTTAATATATTCTACAGGACGGAATACAAGTAGTCTTAAACCTGGAGGGCCTTCCAAGGCTTGGGAATACTAAAGCACAGAGAGTTTGGGGAACACTCAGTGAAAGAGCTGGGGTTTTGATTAAATTTTTAAGAAAGGGGCTGGACCTAAGTGGTCAAACGAAGGGAGAGCATCCTAAGAACAATGAAATGAACAAAATCTGTAGGAGAGTACAGGACATATCACTGCATCTCAGAATGGGGTTGGGGAATTATGGGAAATAAGGTCAGGTGTGTGGGAGTATGTGTGTAGCCAGAATTTAGAGGGGCTTAAATATCAGGCAGAAACTGGGAGACCATATGGCAGGACACACGGGGCTGTGACTGAAAGTTCGTGAGGAAGGAAAGGAACAAAGATGGAAACATTACTCAAGTCAGATTGGGCTGGCCATCCTCTCCAGAGAAATGGGACTTCATTTCATCTACTTTTACAAGGTAGAATTATTTGGGGTGTAGAAGAGCTAATTCCATCTGGTCACTTGTTTTCCTCAATGCTTAGAAAGGATTGGGGCTAGGTATTGCATTCTAGCAGCTAATTAAAAGTTCCTGTCTCCTCATTCTCTCTGTCCCACCCTCCTCATTTGGAGTATCAGAGGATTAGTGTACTCCTTTGTATAAGTCCACCAGTTCTGCAAACAGACTTTTGGAGGCAGATACCACCATAAGGAATAAATGCTGGGATGTAGGGCAGCCTGACAATGTACTTCACCTGCTCTGGAGTGTTACTTTGGGTAACACTTATCGACAGTGCCCTTAGGAACAGAAATAAGGGATTAGTAGTGTCAGGAGAAAGAATTAACAGTCAGGATCCTACGTGACACAAGTGTACATCCATCCCCCTCATCCCAAAGAAAGCTCTAGCCTAAAAGGGGGGAATACGTGTAACAACAAAATGGTAATTGTATCCACTAAAGTCAACATTCCCTACCAAGAATTAAGATTTTTCCACCATTTTAACCATTCCCAAATGTTTTCCTAAGCAGTAAATTAGTCCTTCTAAGTATGTATTAATGTGCAGTAAAATTTTGGCTAACCGATATACCCTGGAGGAAGGCCTTTTCTGGACAGCCAGATTTGCTGGACAGCTAAAAGTTTATTCCTTTAATGTCACACATCGGTAAGACTTCCCTACATGTCCCAGTCTCCTTTTATAAGGGAGCAGACAGGACTGGAGGGGAAGGTGTCCTGAGAAGCATAGGATCATAGAAGTCTTAGAGTTGGAAGCAACTTGAGAGATCACTGAGTGTTGCTCTCACATTTGATAGACAAGAAAACCAAAGCCAAAGCCAAAGTGATTAAGCAACTGGCTGACAGTCACCTCACAACAGTGGATTCCAGTACCATACCTTATCAAGCATTTCTGATGAAAAGATTTCCCAGATGTATCACGTTTCCCTGCCAGATGACAGGAAACTCTAATCTTAGGCACTAGTTGATTTCTACTTTAGTTTTAGTTGGGTTCCACATTGATGAGACTGCAAAATGGCTCGATTTTAAAGAGGTAAAATGTATGCAAATGAGTATGAAATGAAAAATCACAGAATAGCCCGTGACATTTGTTGAATATTATGCTTAAGAGGAGACAATGTAGTAGTAAAAAGAAATGTAGAAAGCTAAGGGGTCAAAAAATAGTTACTGAGCACCTACTATGTGCCAGGGACTATTCTGGCATGCGTTTGAATTTAGGTAGCAAGGCAAGTTAAGAATTTCTATATTAGAATACAAAACCTGTTCTATAAAATACAAAGCAATTCCAAAGTGATACAGGACTTTAGGAAATGAGCAAAAAACTTAGACTCAAGATAGTTATATTCAGAAAACACTTTTTTTTTTTTTTTAAAGAAGTCCTTTCTCATTCTTTTAAAAAATAACTCTAGGAAGTGGCTCATTGTATTCTTAGCTCAATTTCAAATCAAATCATTTATGCAATAGACCTTATAGTACTCTTCCTTAAAATAGGCTGGTGGAGGCTCAAGTTTTAAAAAGAGACCAAATTAAATGACACAGTAGAGTTTTATTAAGGGAAATTATGATGCTGGGTTTGGCAGAGTTCTTCCATTTCATTATTTAGCTAAGTGCTGGCTCATGCTCTATACATGATTTGTTGTGTACTACTAAAAATGATCACAAGGAACTCAGCTATAACATGGTATGAAAACACTAAATAATACCAGAACTGAAAAGAGAGATGAAGAAATTATTTTTAAAAAATGGAGAAAGGACACATAAAACATCAAACTTAGAAAAAAAAAATTGTCTTTTGTCTCATAATCACTAGTCAGACCACCACGTACTATTTCACATGAAAGGAATTCAGAATCTGGGAAGCAAATCTGTTGGAGTGGGATGAGGCCCTAACATAAAGGGAAGAGTTTAAAAACAGTCATGAGACCTAAAGAAGCAGGTTTCCCTGCAAAGTCTCATCCCCCTAGAAAAAAACAGCAATAATGCTAGCAATTCCCAGGCCTTTGGACCCCACCCTTGCTGACCTGCCCAGGCTCACAATGGTGGGCCCAGAGTACCAAGGACTCTGGACTATCCTAGTGGCTAAATAAAATAGCTGCCTCTCTTTTGGAGTCTTAAGGGCATCTTAGTAAGAAGCAATGTAAGTTGGTGTAAGAGCCAAAAGTGTGCGACCAGCAGGTAAGAAAAAGCTACATAGTATATGGCAAATGTTGAGTAGCTGTTATCAAAAATGCTTGGGACAAGAAGTGTTTGGAATTTCTTTTTTTGATTTTGTGACATTTGCATTCTACTTACTGGTTTGAGCATCCCTAAACCAAACACCCAAAACCTGAAGTGCTCCGATGAGCATTTAAGCATCATGGTGGTGTGTTCAAAAAGTTTCTGATTTAGAGCATTTGGAATCTTAAATTCTCAGATTTGGCATGTTCAATCTGCCAACTTCAATTTAAGCTCTCTCATGGAGCTTCTGGTGAAAATCCAAGATCTCCTGGATCCAGTGGCGGCACTTATTGTCACATAGTGATATACCAGGCACTGCTGGGGGCTCTTTCATAAGCTCTCAATGGTCTCTCCACACCATTAGGGGCAAACCTTTCACCCTTTGGCAAATATAACAGTGGACTAAGTCAGACTTTGTTCTGGGGCTTTATTCGTTTTGAATAGAAATTCAAGTTCATTCACATTCTACTCCCTGGTAACCCTCAAAATCAATTACTTCTTTTGAGTCTTCAAAAACTTATTTGCTGAAGTAGGTTTACGCCGCAAGACCCAGAACCAAGCAGTAGATCATGCCACACAGGGATTAACAAAGAGGTCTCCCTTTAATCCTCAGTTATGTATTTATTCTCCATGGCATGACATGCCGTGTCACTTAAATTATTCAATTTGATTTTTACTTTGGGGCAGAGCTGTTGACTAACATTTGATATGTTTTTTTTTTCTTTTATTTAGAAGGGTTGGTTGAGCCTAGATATTAGTAAGTTGCAGAATCCTTGGGGCCAGGGTAAAAGCAGGGGTGGGAGTTATGACTGCTTTTTATGGAAGTCACATTTTTCAGACCTCTCTTAGTGATTTAATAGTTATTTCTTAAAATCATATAAAGAAATGGAAAAAGAAAAGCTATATATTCCTCCCCTTCCCCCTTTAAACAAAAGGAATGGTTTAATGATCTCTTAAAGAAAATGCTTATTTAGCTTTTATGGTTTCATGGTCATGAGGGTTTTGATGTCAAGATTAAGAGAAAATTTTTCTGTTCTATGACAGAGTTACTACTGACAGATTTTACTGGATTTTATTAGTTTCTATGATACAAACACAATAGTTAGTATGTGCCAGGTTCTAAGTTCTCTGCATGTATTAACTTGTTTAAGCCTCAAAATAATCATACTACATGAGTAGTATCATCTTATTTCACAGATAAGTAGGGCCCCAAAGAGATTAAGGGACTCACACAAGGTCTTCCAGTAAACAGCCAAACCAGGATTTGAACCTAGGCAATCTGGCTTCAGAAGAGGTGTTCTTGACTTCCATGATGTATATCTAAATGGCTTCTTTTGAGTAACAGACTATAAGAACCTTGATGATAGCATATAAATCTAATCCTTTTGCCAGAGCTACTAGGCTTAGTACAGTATCTCCATGTACAACATACATTCCACTATGGAGCTGGATGTTTTCTAGTGACAATTTTCAGTTTTCAACATTTATTAACCAAATAAATCAATTTTTATGTTGGAGGGTAATTTAGGATGCAACTATTTGGATACTTGGATCAGATGACATATTGTTTAGTAAAACAATAATGACTTACTGAGCCAGTGGTATGTCTTTACAACTATTCAAGGTGCCATGGGTGAGAATAAAGATATATATATATATATATATATATATATATAT